GGAGAGGGGGGGGGGGGGGGGGCGACCAGTCGGCAGTGCGCCCCCCCACAGTTTCCTTTGGGGCGTTCCCCCTTTTTTTTTTTTTTTTTTTTTTTTTTTTTTTTTTTTTTTTTGCCGGCGGACTCAGTGAGTATTTACCTGCATCCGAACTGAGCCGAGCGACGCTGCGTGGATCTAGTGTGTGTGTGTGTGGAGGGGGGGAAAAGAGAGGCAGACAATGAAGAATTCAACTGGATTGCGTTACTCTGCCAAGGATTTCCATACCTAGCCTGGTAAATGCTTTTGATACGCTCTTTATTTGTGTATGCATCGTAGTGAATGAACTGCTCACGCTTTATTCTAACTAACTGCTGTCTAAATTGGACTGGCTGTGAGTTATAGCCCCTCATGCATTTGATGTGTGATGCTGCTCGCCTGATATAGTGCAGGGTCTGTGCTTTGCTGGGAGCAGGGGCCCTATGTAAAAAAAAAAAAAAAAAAGAAAAGAAAAGAAAAGAAAGAAAAACAGTGAGTGTGTTTTCTGACCGCCAGAGAGGACACAGAGGCAGACAGTGGAAATATGTGACATGAATAATATGGGGAAGGAGAAGCAGTGACCGTCATCTCTGGCTGGCTTGCGTCAGTGTGTGTGTGTGTGTGTGTGTGTGTGTGTGTGTGTGTGTGTGTGTGTGCACAGAGGGTGCGGGGGGAAGAGGATAGAAAAAACTCAAGAGAGACAAGGAGGAAAGCCACACCTGTGCCAGGCCTGTCTTATAAATAAAGCAGCAAGAGACATATGCACAATCACATTCAGCCAGAGTCCTTTCCTGCTCCCATAATGATGCAGAGCTATGCTGACTGCTGACTACTTCACTTGGCTGATCTGAGAAGGAGGCTTGAGTGTTGACTGTGTTGCTTCCCATCAAGGCAGAGTCTAACAGGAGGGATCCCACTGGTCTATCTGGGCTGAGTATTGATCTTCTTCAAATAGGGGGAGGGGCTTTTTGTTTGTTGTTGTTTTTTGCTCAGAGATAAACAGTGCACCCCCTTCTAATAAGGAAAAAAAAAAAGATGACTGGGACTCTATTGTGTCTTGTTCTAGTTTGTCAGTGAGCACTTTAGCCCAGATTGGTGAGCCTCCTCCTTCTCGAGGCCGTCCGGCAGCGTCTTGCAGCGTTACGAAAGCTCACCCCCCCCCTCCTCCCACCCCCAGCCTACCATCCATCCACACGTGCGCCCGCCACCTGTTTCTGTTCCCTGGCAGGCTTTAAAAGCATACTTTTTGGATATGGTTTGACCTTTCTCGCATTGTTTCTCGGCGCACGCATGTGAGAAACTTGGCTCGGGAGCCGCTTCTCTCCAAAGGCGGGCGTACATTGTGTGCAGAGCAGGAGGAGGGCTTTGATATAATCAATATCAGATTTCAGCTGTTTCACTGCGAGGCTCTCATCCTGAGTGGCAGACTTGACTGACTTCTTACTGCTTATGCAATCCCACTCCCTTCCTCCTCCTTTTGCACCCACTCTCTAACCCATTACTCTCCCCCCTTATCTGTCTGGTCTTCCTCTAATTCTCCATTCCTTCACCTTTTTCCTCCCATCTTGCCTCCTCCTCCTCCTCTGGTTTTCACTCATCCCTTCATCTCTCTCCTCTCCCCCCCCCTCCTGTTATAATCACCTCTGTGATTGCTCTTCCTCTCTCAGGCGGTGATGTTTTCACTGCTGCCTTCTTTTCTAACCCGCCGATGCCAGATTATTGCTGGATGATTACAGCTACCATACCATCATGATCATTATTGCATTCCGAGTGCCAGTGTTCAACACTGTATGAGCAGATCGAGATGCTTTATCCAATTTAGATCTCATTAAGGCTTGAGAGGAAATATTCCAGTGCAAGACTCTGCGTTCTCAGCTGTTTTCCGTCTTTGTTTTGTTGTTGCTTTCTGTCCAACTTCTGCGAAATTGTTCGTTTTCCCTCCTCGCAGTGATCCCATGCAGACTGGGAGGGCCTGGGAGTGATTTCAAGGTGTGGATGTAGATAGAATAGGAAGATAGAACATTAAATTTGAACATTGATTCAGTCCATCCATCCACATGGTGATCGATTGCATTTAAAAAAAAAAAAAAAAAATTATTTTTGTGTAAAACGCCTCAAGACGACATTTGTCGTCATTTGGCAAAATGTAAATGAACCAAATTCAGCAGAATTGAATTGATTCCTTCGGAAATGATCTCTGCTGCTCTGAGTCTGGCCAAAACAGTGCAGAATTTGGACGTGAAAGACGTGTGGTAATCCTGCTCTTATTACATCAGCAGCGCTATCAGCATCAGCTCGTGCTCCTGCCTGTCACCGTGACGCCTCTACATCAACTCGCTTTTGAGAAAAGAAAAAAAAAAAAAAAAAAAATTCCAAGAGTTTTGATTTGCAGCGGTGCTTCAGCTCCACTGTCATTATCACAATAATGACTGTGACAGGCCTTGATGGCTGTTGATAACCCAACATATTTTTGCTGATTGATAATCTCGGGTAGTTTGCGCCTCGCCCCCCCCACTCCCCCTCTGTGTTCCCTGATTGCCATTCATCCCATTAAATGGAGCAGTTCATTAGACAGAGGTATTATGAATCTGATTTGCATTTACTCATATTCATATCGCATACATTAAAACAACACACGTGTGACATTTCAGCTTTGCCGGCCATTTGAGAATACAGATGAATATATTCATCCCAGCTGTTATTTATTTTTTCGTCCCCTACTTGTCCGAAAAGCCACTCTGAACGCGGTGAAATGTGATTCACAGGTGAGCTGGCCCACGTGTTTATGTCTTTGTTTTGCATTTACAATGTCACTATTTGAATTTGCAATATAAAAGCGTTTGCTGCCTCAGCTAAGAGACTGTTCAGCTTCCCTTCATAAAGCGTTTGCCCCACTTTATATATAAAGCATTGTTTTCCAGTGCTGGATTCAGCTTAACTTGCAAAAAATATTCACACTGCTCAAACGTTTCCACACGTTGCCACTTTACCACCACAAAATGTACATGTTTTGTGGCGTCTACACGCTTCAGACCCACACAAACTAGCATAGTGCTCCAAAGTGTAAGAAAAATACAACATGGTGAGCATTTATTTGGTCCCCTTTACTCTGACTCAATTCAAAAATATGTTATTGATCAAAAAGGGAAATGAACAGGTTAATTCAAGATTCTTTACAGTGGATAGAGAACAGGAGAAACTCCTGCAGCAGTCTGTGTTACAGCAAATTTGCGCAAGCCTCTGACTGAAGACACTATGACATGCCTCTAAATTAAAGCCAGTGCCTCTAAAAGTCACCAAATGAGCAAACAGTGTATTTTAATAAAAGCATAAAGACAGCTGTTCTGTGGAAACCTCAGAGATGAAGCGAAGTGGTGGCAGCAGCATCATGGTGGGGGTTTGGCTTTCAGACAAAAGCAGGTAAATAAAGGGCAGTTCTGTGGGCAGATTTAAGTGAAGGACGTGAAAAATACATCCAAGGTGTTATGGCATACTTTAGCTCAGAGCTTATTCCTGTGTTGGAATTACCAAGACAAAGTCTAGCTCCAAAACCAAGGAAGATAATCTGAGGCAAGACTTGAAAATGACTATTTTCCCTCTTTGTGATCTCGCTGGACTCTAGCTGCAGCATTTTTGCGCAGAAAAGCAAGCAAGCATTTAGTATTTGAGTCTGAACGTGCCAGGCGATTGTTCTGGCATGTACAACTCACCAGCAGAAGGAGCTGATTTTTTTATTTATTTATTTTTTATGTGCTTCATAGTTTGTGTTCAGCAACAGCCAGTGAAAGACCAAATCAGGAAGCTTTTGACCTTTGCTACTGTAGGGGAGACTAAAGAATTACTGCTGAACAACCACACAGCCCGTCCTTAGTTTGTTGTGTTCTTGTGTGTAATTAGGGGTTATCAGGATGCGTATGCTATAGCAAGAACAATGCTTAACCTTGGTCGGACAGCAACTTGTCAAAAGTGGGCCTCACAATTTATTGTGTTACGTTATGGTGATGGAATATGTCTCCTGAAAGTCTATTGCACATCCATTTTCTTTCTTTCTACCACTAATATACATATCATTTATGTAAGCTGCAGACACTACAGTCGCTTCATTGAAATCATTGCATTTGAGTTACTTGTGTTGAACTAATTTCTATGAGACGTTCTACCTTTTGAGTAACTAATTATTTACATATTTTTACAGTAAACTTGATGAGTACAGGTGCTGCTACATAGGGTTTGGTAAAGCCACACAGAGATTGTATTCATTTTTTGAATGTTCTGCTATTGTGGGGTAATGAAAATGTTTCGATTGCATTTATTATCCAGCATGTTTTTGTTTCTTTCTTTTTTTCATTTCTTTTTTTGGGGGGGAGAGAGAGGGGGAAGAGAATTAGAGCCATCTGTCTTTTATGGTGTATTTGTCATTGCATCTTCATTTAGTGATAAAAATATACAAGATTAATGTTTTACCATGCATGTGGACTGATGTGTTTCAGCTTCATTCTGTCGGTTATGATGGCAACTTGTCATTTTGCCGAGGCGTTATCTACCTGCTTAGCTGTGTTGACACAGCCAGCGGCAGAACAGCGGTGTTAGAAAATATTGCTTCCCGGGTACTCATTATGCATGCTAGAGGTATTTTAGACGGCTATGTGTAAAATATTTTGGAAACCATGAATTAGTGTTCTTCCATTTCACAATTATGGAGTATTTTGCATAGGTGTCTCACATAAAATCTGAATTTTACGGTCGTAACGGGAGAAGGCGTAGAAATGTTCACGGAGTGTGAATATTTTTGCATGGCACCGCATGTTTGTCATGGTTTTTTGACTCATATCATGGCGAACTATTGCCTCCAGCTGGCCTATACATCATTATTTCCGTATAATGAAATGCTTTCCCCATGGCTCAACAGTCTGTGTGATTTAACATTTATTTCCAGGCTGCTTGAATATGCTTATGATGTATCACCAAACTGATTCATCCTGAAATGACTTCTCCTTCTCCTGCCCTGTCTGTTTGTCCTCACGGATCCTGCGTGTGTGTGCGTGTGTGCATTTGAACGTATGCGTCTTCGCCTCGCCTGGCAGTGAGATAAAGGCCCGATGCCGCGCCGTAGCCCCAGGCTGCTGAGCTGAAAGGGGAGAAGCAGCAGGATGCAGTGGGTCACTCTGGTGGTGGCCCTGGGGTGCGCGCGCCTGTCCCAGGCGTCGCGCGGCCCCACCCCCACACCCACCTCCACACACACCCCTCTGGTGGACAACTCGGAGGAGGAAGTGGACGAGCCGTGCTTCGAGCCGTGCACGTGCGAGGTCAAAGAGGGCGTGCTGCACGTGCACTGCGACGGGCGGGGCTTCACCAACGCCAGCCAGGTAGACCTCCTGCTCACCTCCTTGTTCATCACGGGCCTCGCGACGATGTCACTTCGTTTAAAAAGTCGAATCTCCAATGCTAACACATTGGCTCGTGGCTCGTTCTTATTGTTCACGTCCCCTAATTAATAAAGTAAGTAATCCGAGCTGTAATTAATCATCCAGGTGTCACAGTCATGGATCCGCCCTTTCAAACTCAACCTCCAGAGGAACTCTTTCAGACGTCTCTATAGCAACGGGTTTCAGCACCTTGGCAACGCGGTGTCGATGAACCTCGGCAACAATGCACTCCAGGACATCCGAGTGGGGGCCTTTAACGGGCTGGCCAAACTCAAGCGCCTGTACCTCCACGAGAACAAGCTGGAGGTCTTCAGAAACGACACGTTCGCCGGTTTAGAGGCCCTGGAATACCTCCAGGTAAGCTCGAGGACATAATCAGTCCTAATTATCCATGATTGACTTTATTATTGATGAATCAGTGCGAAAGTACAATTTGTTTCCATGCCAGAAACAGTGGTGGAGTGGCAGCTGGTCTGGGTGAAACGGGGTAGAAGAGTTTTAGGGTTTGCTTTTGAACCAGAGAGCGGCCACGCTTTTGGTTTGAGCTCTGAAGCCTTTGTCCATATTGCATTTTTCTGTCCCGCAGGCCGACTACAACGTGATCAAACGGATCGACAGCGGTGCTCTGAGGTTTCTCTACAAGCTTCGGGTTCTCATACTGAATGACAATCTGATCCCCGTCCTGCCCGCTCATCTGTTCAGGTTACATCCTGATTATTTTACTCCAAAGCTTTTTAATTATGCCAGGACTGATCTGTAGAAATATCACTGCCAGGCACGGTTAGTCACAGTGTTCTGCTGAGGTAGGGTTATTGTAGCGCGCACACAGCGCCTCGCAAAAGCCCTCATATCCCTTGAACTTTTTCGCAATTAGTCACGTTAAACCCACAAAGCTTGACGTGCTATACTGGAAAAGCTATGTGATAGATAGACCAACACCGAGAGGTTCATAATTAAAGTAGAAGGAAAAGTTTTCGACATTTTTAGAAAGGAAAATCTAAAAAGTTTGTTGCGCATTTGTGTTCAGATCGTTTTACTGACGGCTGCAGAAATCATCTAATAAGTACAGTAGAGTCCAAGTGAGTTATGTGAAGGCCTTAGAGGTTTGTCGGAGAACATTATAGGTCAAATAGCATGAAGAACAAGGCGGGTAAAGGAGAAAGTCGTGGAGGCATTTTAAGCTAAATCAGGTGGATGGATCATCTTCACTCTGCCTTTATGAAGAGTGGCAAGAAGAAATGCATAGGACACAGAAAGAATATGGAAGAAAGGGCTCTAATCAAATGAGCCCAAAATGTTGTTTTGTTTTTTTGTTTTGTTTTGTTTTTTTTACAAGGAAACTAACACTACATTATCACCCCAATCACCCTGCCACTACTGTCAAGCAAGGTGGTGGCAGCATAAAGCTGTGGGATTGCGTTTCTTTAGCAGGGACAAGAAAGCTGGTCAGAGCTGATCTGGTCTTGGTACCTTAATACAGGTAGGCCAGTCACGATAACTAATGTTGCTAGGCGATAAATTGTTCCAGAAGTTATCGCAATAAGCAATAATATCATTGTTTTGACATCATTTTCAACTTTATAATAGTGCTGGTATGAACACATTCTCGAAGATCAATAGACTTAAAGTTTTAACGAACATTTACCACTGAAACTGAGAGTGTTTAAATATCCAAAATAAATAAACAAAATAACAGATACAACAAATAAATTGAACTATGAAGTCTCGGTAAACAAAATGTCCTTCAAAAAAAGGGGGCTAGTTGAGACCAAAACACTTTTGTCATCCAGGTTTTGGCAGAAAGAGAGAGAAGACAGAAAAACAAAATCATGTAAATGGAAATTATTGACCTCATTTTAATTTATCCTGCGATTAATCGATTCATTGCTTATTGCGACAGGCCTAAACTCAGGGCAATCCTGGCCAGCGGTTCACCTCGTGACTGTAAGCTAAATATTATCTCCTAATAACCCTTAGTGATTGTGACCAAGCATACATTGCTTCTGAGATGGTGACTGAAATTCAATATGCAGTGCAGAAATTAACTTGAGAATCAATGGCCAGACCTAAAAATTGATCTTCACTCCATTCAATCTGGTGTTGGAAAGAAGAATGAGAAGAAATTTGTTAGAAACAAACCCCAAGGTCTTTGCAGCTGTAATCACAGCAGAAGGTGAAGGTGGTTGAGAACAAATGCACGCCATTATCACATTATTATTTGCAAAAAATAAAAAATGTAAAAACGCGCACACACACACACACATACACAAACCTTGCATCATCCCTTTCATCTCATGGTCATATTCTAGTTTGTGTGATTTTTCAAATGAAATCATTATAAAATACACTATTTCTTTTAATTGTGATGCGACAAAATGATGAAAAAACTCAGGGGTTTTTGAATGTTTTTCCAAAGCGCTGCATGTCATAGAAGATGAACCAATCAAACATAAAAAAAATAAAATAAAAAAAATTCAATGCAGTTTGTCCTTTCATCTAACTCCATTGCCTCTCCTTCCCCCTCCTGCTCCAGATCTGTGTCTCTGACTCATTTGGACCTACGGGGAAACCGTCTGAAGAGCTTAGCAAAAGACGGGACGCTGCAGTACATCGGCCGCTCCCTGATGGAGCTGCAGCTGGAGGAGAATCCCTGGAACTGCAGCTGCGAGGCGGTGGAGCTCCTGCAGTGGCTGGGTCAGATCCCCTACACGGCTGTTGTCGGGGATGTTACCTGCGAATACCCGTTTCATCTTCACGGGAAGGACTTGAGGGAAATCCCCCGCAAAGAGCTGTGTGCTGACCTGCCGGATAAAGAGCACCAGGGAGAGAGAGGCGCTCCATCAGCGGGATCCCAGCCCCAGCCTCTGCCCCCAAACTCTAAACACAACTCCCATCCCGGGAGAGCCAGGCCGACGAGGCCATCGTCGATGGTGCACGGCTCCCGGCAGAACACTCTCGCGTCCTCCACTTCGTCCCCCTACACTTCAGCGGAGCGTAAAGAGAGGGAGAAGCAGCTGAAGCCAACTAAAAGGCCTCGATCCTCCAACCGAACGCCGCCCACCGCTCGCAGCCTGATGCCCAACCAGAACCCCCCCGTGGCGGGCTACCAGACGCGGCCGCCCATACCCATCATCTGCCCCATCCGTTGCACCTGCAATCTGCACATCGCCGACCTGGGCCAAACCCTCAACTGCAAAGAGAACGGTTTCCGCAACATGTCCCAGCTCATACCGCGGCCCCTCAACGGCCGAAAGCTCTTCCTGGGAGGGAACTTCATCCAAAAGCTCGTCCGCTCCGACTTCTGGAACTTCTCCAGCCTCGATCTGATTCACTTCGGGAACAACCGCATCAGTTTCATCCAGGAGGGCGCCTTCTCCAGCCTAGTGAACCTGAGGACCCTCCACCTGAATGAGAACGAGCTGGACAGGTTGAGCCCTCACATGTTCCTGGGACTCCAGAACCTGAGGTGAGGAGCGTTTGCATCGCTCTGCGTTTCACGCACATCCTCCCCTCTTAGCACTTCAAACTAATTTTTTCTTTTTAAACCGAAGCCACATGTCAGCTTAAGATACTTAGAGATTTGTTTGTTAAAAAAAAAGAAAAAAAAAAGAAGTTGAATTAATTTCAGTATAATCCTGGCACCGGATAGCGCTGAAAACGTTGATTACCATTATGCTGGAGTTTGATTGAAATGAAGGTTTCCCATTCTCTTCCATGTTTGTCATTACTTAGTCACGCTGTCTGATGCAATGCTCCAGTTGAGTTGTAAGCCCGGTTCTGAGTGACAATGTGAAAATTAATGTTTTCTGGTATTTGCATACAGAGGTGTTGATAAGACAGTGAGGTGTCAGGACGATGGCAGGATTTTGTGTTTGGGCAAAGGCTCGTCAGAGCGATGCATATGTATGTAATTGTCAGATTAAGCTCAGAAAGATGATTCATCTGTACATAATGCATATCTTCCTTCAGCAAGTGCATTAAACATTAATGAAGACAACAGATCAAAATTCATGCCATTCTAGCTAAAGAATGATAAGTCACCTAGGCGTCAGATTTCAGCCGCACCGTCTTTATATTTCCAGACAGGTTTAAGAAAATCTGCAGCCATTAATCTGACTATTAATCAATAATAAAGATCCTCTGCGGACATGGAAAATGTCTTCCTCTTAACCTCTCGTTAGCCTTTGTTAAATGCTAAATGGTGACAGAGTGCTCTGAGCAGTATGAACCGGACCTGCAGTGGATGTAAAAAGTCTACACACCCTGGTTGAGCTGCTTGTTTTTAAATATGAAACAATGATAAGTTATTTTAACCTTTCTTTTAACCGTTAATGTGAGATTTATCCGACACAACTAACACTGAAAAACAAATCAATCCGAGCAGAAAAACAGAATCAAAAAGTTGCAACAACCTGGTTGCACAAGTTTTGAGACTGTTAAACTAAACCTGTTGTTGAATCAAACTTTGTTTGCCGTCTCTAAACATGACACATCTACCTTGAAGACGTTTCCAGAATCTCCTCTCCGCAGCCTTTTTCACTGACTTCCTGTCCAACTGAGGCCTGAACTCTGGTGGAGCCGAACTATTATCGATTTTGATGAATGTGGTCAAAATTTTCTAAGTCCTTATAACTCTTTACGAAAGTCTGTGCAGTGTCGTCCATCAGAAAACCTATTCTAACTGTATGATTGGGAATAGTTTAGCCAAGTCTGGACATTTGTTTTTGTCCTTCAGCCCCAGAGGAGACCAGAACCAACCCCAACAGTCCTGCTGTCATCTTCCCTTACCAGCTTCTGTTTTGTATTTTTATTCATTATGGAGAAACATCCAGTTTTTCTAACATTGCTGTTACGTATTTTCTCAAACTCCTGCAGACTTTTTGTACCCCCACCCTGACTGATGCTTTTGTACAAGGAAATAATTTTGATCCTCTGCAAACCTCTCTGCAAATTCTGGGCTTAGCTAAAGGATACAAATAAACACAAGTCCAACTAGAACGGCTGAACTTCAATAATGGGTAATCGGAGGCTCGATAATGAATAGCAGGTTTGAATTTGAGACTGAATACTAGAATCGAGCCAAAAGGTGGTAGTTGAAGGGTGTGCGCATTAATTCAAAATGACAGTTGCTGCTTTTTCATGATGTACCTTTATTTTCTCAAAGAAGATCTTTCTGTATTCAGCTAAGTGATACAGGCTGTACATCACAGCGAAGTTGAAGAAGATATTCTTTTCTTTCGTGTTTCTCAGAAACATGCAGAATCTGTTGCAGCCATCGAAAAGAATATCGCACTCACTTCTGCTAATTAAAAGAAGAAGAAAAAAATCCAATGTGGTAATCAGACATCTGTGTGAAATTTGACATAATTTGATACTGATCGGTTTGTGAAGAGGCAGAGAGGAGATTAAATCAAATTTCTGCTATGAATTTGAAACACGAATAATGAGCTGCGTATTTGTCGAGATTGGGATAAAGGAGGACTAGGCTACTGTGCGCATAGACCGTTTTATTATGCTGTAGCAGCATGGCCCATTTGTCTTTTTTTTTTTGTTTGTTTGCTGTAAATGATAATATCTGCTTCTGTTTCCTGACCTTAGGTTCCTTTACTTGGAGAACAACAAGATCGGTGTGGTAGATCCCGGCACCTTTGACTCCATGCCGTCCCTTGAGTTGCTGTTTCTCAACTACAACGCTTTGCGGAGCCTCCCTGTCGGTGTATTCTATGGAGTCAAGCTGTCTCGTCTCAACCTGAGAAACAACGTCTTCCAGCATCTGCCGGTGGAGGGTGTGCTGGAACACCTCAGAGGACTGGTGCAGGTTGGTGGAAATCCATATTTTACTTATTATAACCATTGATTACTACAGGCGGGGAGGGGGCGATGCAAAAGTATAGGGTGAACTTTTTCACACGTAGTCACAAAATGGAATGTAATTTAATGAGATTTAATATGATAAAATGCAGGCATGATGGTGAGGAAATGCTTTAGTTTCAATTGCTTTTTACAAAAAATTGTGCCGTTATGTAAAATAACATTTCAACTGTTTGACCTGGTTTCAAATCGCTAAGTCAGGTAAAAAAAAAAAAAAACCTGCACTGTGCATCTACCACAACAATCCTTACAGTAAAACATGGTCATGGCAGTGTCATGATATGAGGGAGTTTTTCTTCAGCAGCCTGGAAGGAAAACAAAATCTTATATAGTTTACCTTTTATCTTAAAAGTTAATTTGTTAAACCATAAGCAACTAAGTATCAGTCAGCCTATGGGGGCGTCTTTAAAAAAACAGGCAATGTATATGAAAAAATGATAAGGAAAAAAAGATATGTTATCTTTGTACTGATGCAGCACTCTGAGTTAATATATTTCACTACACAAAGAAGTTCATCTTCTTGCAGATTTAAATCGAATCATGACAACATTAGAAAGTCTGGAATTAGTTGAACTGATTTCAGTTATTTGTGGCTGTTTTTGCAAAGATGAATGAGCAAAGTTTCAGTCTGTAGATGTGCAAATCTGGTGCAAATCAATGCAACTGTGGCAAAAGGTGGTTCCACAAACTATGAACTCGTGGGGTAAAAAAAATACTTTTTCTTTTTTTCTTTTTTTTTTTTTAACTAATTTTAGCATAATTCTTCATCTAATTATGCTAATTTGTGTTGTTCTAATACAGGGGTGCCCAAAGTGGATCCTCAAGGGCCGGCATCCTGCAAGTTTTAGTTCTCTCCCTGGCTTAACGTACCTGGATCAAATGATGGCTCGTTAGAAGCCCTAAGAGGAACATTGACAAGCTGAAAAGGTTGTTACTTCTACCAGGGAGAGAACTAAAATGTGCAGGATGCCGGCCCTCGAGGACCGACTTTGGGCACCCCTGTTCTAATACATACAATTGCAGCAAAAGACATTAAAGATTGGAGTTCAGGAGTCTATCTGTAGTTATATTCTGCTTTTTTGTTGTTTGTCAGGTGTAAAACTGAGGCGATGGACCCTTTGTTTCACTTCGCAAAAATGTGTTTAATCTCTCTCAAATACAACAAAAATACAAAAGTCTCACATGCCGCAAAGAAACCGCAAATGGCGATATTCCATCTTAATGAATCAAGTGCTGACAGGCCCCAGCTGCATTTTTAAACTTCTGGCAGGCCCTGATCTGCTGGCCTTTGAAACAGCTGGAGCTTTCTCCCATCATCTGTTGTTTTGAGAGCGCCGCTGCAGCATGTGGGACTCTGTTTGTGCCTCAGGTATTCCAATTGGAAAATTGCAATAGACTCCATTTGCATAAGTGGTCTTAATAAATCAGGAGTTAGACTGGAGAAAGCAGAAGCCTTTAAGTGTTTAAGCATGGTTTTAATTAATGCAACGTAGAGTAAATAGACTGTATAAAATACAGCATATGTTTGGTTTTCCTCACATCTAACCACAGCCTTTAAGTGACTGGTTGCTGCACGCAGCACGCAGATAAGGACACATATTAAGTCCTTTCAACCAAGACTTCAGCAAATTTAATGTAAGCTTTTCTTAGACAGCCTGAGCAGAATGAGGTAAAGTGGGTGTAGATTAGCCTGAATGTCATTGTGAATTTCTGTTCTTATTTAGCTTGATGGAAAAAAATAAATAAATCCCAAAACCCCCAATTCCGGGTTTGTGTGGGTGAGACTGGCAGTTTAGCGGCAGTTTCTAAATGTTTGCTGGAGGAAGCGTGCACGTACAAATAAATGCATTATGCCTATTGTGCATTGCTCTTATGTTCAAGAGAATTTAAGCTTTCGCAAATTGGATGTACCCAGTGGGCCGTATTCATGGAACCCAGCTGCATCGCCATTATGGAGCTGGAAATCTCTGCCACAGTAACTGAATCTGTTCATTTATCGGGGTTGTTATTTCCCTAACAAAGCCATATTAGCGCTACCCGTCGGCTGCAGAGAACAACATGACAGCGATATCACCTGTTGGCTTACTAGTGGGCTGTTTGAAGCTCGGGGCGTGGGCTTTTGTGGGCGCCGCTGTGTGTTTCTGAGCCAGCGTTTGCACTGTAAAATCAAAGGCTAACACTGATGGAAGCGGGATTTAGCTCCCAGCTGCTGGGGAAAAACAAAAAGAAACGTACAATTCTGATAAAGCAGCAGCATACACAGCTTAGAGTCAGCTCTGCCGTCAAGAACAAGATTATGCAGTCACACCCACTTAACTGATACGGAAAATATTTCCCTTAGCGCACTGTTAGAAAATGATAAAAAAAAAAATTAGTCTGACGTTAAAGAGAAAATTAAAATCATTGTGATGCGTATGATTTCTCAACTGGAAAATTAATGCCAGTACAAGAGCAACCGAGCCTTAAAGCACAGGGATATATATATATATATATATATAAATCAACTTAAGTGAAGGAGCATCTGAAAGGAGGCCAAAAATATGTACAGCCCAGGAACACATATGTCTTTGTCGGTACGTGCTAAGAACATGTTGGGTTTCAGGCAGACACTTCCTTGTCATTGCCAGCATTAATCAAGAAAGTTGCTCATGGCCAGGTTTGGCGTTTAGTGGGGAGCAATTCTGTCTAAAAAAAAAACACTCAATGCAACTGACACAATGTGTAGAAATAACCAATTATGCTCCGGTGTGGAAAGCTGAGACGGAGGCAGACAGTGGAGCATTTTGGGAGGTTTTCTGACTGATTAGAGGGAAGGTATCCACTGTAATCACTGCTGAATTATTCAGATATGTCCTGGCACCAGTGTTATCAGCGCCCATGTCCCTGCTAAAAATCTCACTCTCAGTCAAAACTTGAGTTTTTTTTGTGCGCGTGTGTGCGTGCGTGTGTGTGTGTGTGGTTTAAGGGTAATAAATATCCATTGTGTCTGAATTTAAAGCAAGTCAAGTGTTGAGCTTTTCAGAAAGCCTGGAAATGTTGGGATTGGATGTCACTGGTATTAAAAAAACCCAGAGACCATACAGACAGATGATAACCTTTTAGCCATCACTCTAACAGAGTGTAACAGTAGATCTGTAAAAAAAAAAAAAAAAAAAAAAATCCAATCCCTGGAATGAGAGGCAGACATTTATACCCTCTACTGATGTCAAATCTTGGTATTGTGCACCTGAGATCACGCACAGAGAACCAGGGCTATTATTATGGTGCCCGATAGAAAACATTTACGATTGAGCGGCTCTCCAGTGAACATGGCCTTTTGTTCAGAGCCCAGATGTTCCTTGATACTAGGAAAATATTTTTGAAAACCAATTTTCTCTCAGGGTAAACTCTGTTGAAGTGAACAAAGCTGTTTTTCTTCCCATGACATATCTATGACTTGCTTAGTGTCCAGAGGAACTGACAAACTAAATATCATTTTACTGAGAATGAATATAAATAGCATCCCTAAGCTGAGTTTGAAAATTAATGAAAGGTTAATTAAGGATGACTCAGAACTTAATTGAGTATAAGTGACCCAAAACAACCAAATAAAATAAGTGTAGCACATTGCTTTCTATGCAATTACTACCTATTAAACAGCGAATAATAAAACATAAATGGTACTCTGTGTTTTATTGCACTTTATCTAGTCCAGAGGACCCTGAAGTGCTTTACACATCCACAGACTGATGGTGGTTAGCTGCTACATGGTAGCCACAGCTGCCCTGGGGCAGACTGGTGGAAGGCAGCCATGCACTGGGGCCACTGGACCCTCTGACCACCA